TATAAGACTGAAGGGAAGGACGGAGGTCAGATAGAAGACTGAAGGGAAGGACGGAGGTCAGATAGAAGACTGAAGGGAAGGACGGAGGTCAGATAGAAGACTGAAGGGAAGGACGGAGGTCAGATAGAAGACTGAAGGGAAGGACGGAGGTCAGATAGAAGACTGAAGGGAAGGACGGAGGTCAGATAGAAGACTGAAGGGAAGGACGGAGGTCAGATAGAAGACTGAAGGGAAGGACGGAGGTCAGATAGAAGACTGAAGGGAAGGACGGAGGTCAGATAGAAGACTGAAGGGAAGGACGGAGGTCAGATAGAAGACTGAAGGGAAGGACGGAGGTCAGATAGAAGACTGAAGGGAAGGACGGAGGTCAGATAGAAGACTGAAGGGAAGGACGGAGGTCAGATAGAAGACTGAAGGGAAGGACGGAGGTCAGATAGAAGACTGAAGGGAAGGACGGAGGTCAGATAGAAGACTGAAGGGAAGGACGGAGGTCAGATAGAAGACTGAAGGGAAGGACGGAGGTCAGATAGAAGACTGAAGGGAAGGACGGAGGTCAGATAGAAGACTGAAGGGAAGGACGGAGGTCAGATAGAAGACTGAAGGGAAGGACGGAGGTCAGATAGAAGACTGAAGGGAAGGACGGAGGTCAGATAGAAGACTGAAGGGAAGGACGGAGGTCAGATAGAAGACTGAAGGGAAGGACGGAGGTCAGATAGAAGACTGAAGGGAAGGACGGAGGTCAGATAGAAGACTGAAGGGAAGGACGGAGGTCAGATAGAAGACTGAAGGGAAGGACGGAGGTCAGATAGAAGACTGAAGGGAAGGACGGAGGTCAGATAGAAGACTGAAGGGAAGGACGGAGGTCAGATAGAAGACTGAAGGGAAGGACGGAGGTCAGATAGAAGACTGAAGGGAAGGACGGAGGTCAGATAGAAGACTGAAGGGAAGGACGGAGGTCAGATAGAAGACTGAAGGGAAGGACGGAGGTCAGATAGAAGACTGAAGGGGAGGACGGAGGTCAGATGGAAGACTGAAGGGGAGGACGGAGGTCAGATGGAAGACTGAAGGGAAGGACGGAGGTCAGATGGAAGACTGAAGGGGAGGACGGAGGTCAGATAGAAGACTGAAGGGGAGGACGGAGGTCAGATAGAAGACTGAAGGGGAGGACGGAGGTCAGATGGAAGACTGAAGGGAAGGACGGAGGTCAGATAGAAGACTGAAGGGAAGGACGGAGGTCAGATATGAGACTGAAGGGGAGGACGGAGATCAGATAGGGGACTGAAGGGAAGGACGGAGGTCAGATAGAAGACTGAAGGGGAGGCCGGAGGTCAGATAGAAGACTGAAGGGAAGGACAGAAGTCGGATAGAAGACTGAAGGGAAGGACGGAGGTCAGATAGAAGACTGGAGGGGAGGACGGAGGTCAGATAGAAGACTGAAGGGAAGGACGGAGGTCAGATAGAAGACTGAAGGGAAGGACGGAGGTCATATTTAACAATGAGAAAAGGAAACGATAAAACGCAGTGTTAATGACCGGCCGGGCAGACATCGGGCGCTGTAGCTTTAACAATAAAGCCAGTGCTGGTCTCTAATAGCTCTGCACAACAACCGCCGGCGCTCGGTAACGGCGCAGATGACCCGGGCGCGGCCATTATCGGACGGCTCTGAAATGTAGAAATTGCTGCGGAATGTGATTACTTCGCTATTATCGCATAGAACCGCTCGGCTCTCCTCTGCATTACAGATCTCCTGCAAATTGCTCCGTCATCGGCTACGCCTCCTCTGGCTTATTCTGCCTTGGAGAGCCCACGCTGTAAATCTCACCAAAGAGGCCCCACCCCCCCTCGCTCCCTCCCCGCCGGCATCACTTGAAAGTGAGAAGAATAAATTACCCAAAAAAGGGGGAATATTTGTGCTGTGAGCAGCGGTCTTGATGAGAGTCATTGAACCTTTCGCAGCGTCATGTTTAATACTCTCCAGACTTAGCATTACACGCACAATACAAGCTCTGGTGAAGAGGGCGGGCCTGGACCCCCGAAACGCGTTGTTGGCTACATCTACAAATTTTGGCATGAGGAAGCAAAATATTCACTGCAGGGGAAACAGTCCAATAGTCCCTCTGTATTGTGTGTATCTCTGTGACATCTGCCTATCTATATCTCCATTACCTATCAATCCACACACCGATCAGCCATGCATTCTGAGCACCCCCTAATATTGAGCAGGTCCCCCTTCTCCTGACCCGTCCATCAATGAGCCTTCTCTCCCCCCGTCCATCAATGAGCCTTCCCTCCCCCCGTCCATCAATGAGCCTCGGCCACCCATCACCCTGTCACCGGTTTTCCTTCCTTGGACCACTTTTGGTCGGTCCTGACCCCTGCAGACCGGGAACACCCCACAAGAGCTGCAGTGTCGGAGTTGCTCTGACCCCGTCATCTAGAATCACAATCTGCTCCCTCCAATCCTCACACTTGTCACAACACATCAACTTCAGGGTCACCTGAGCAGTACACGTCCATGGTGGAGAAGGAACAGCAGAGCACAGCCACTGCACAGCGCTCCTAGGCAGGAAGCAGAGGTTTGCTTTGTAATCACTATATACTGTATCACTCTCTATAGAAGGAGTAACAATGTTTATGAACAGACACTCTCTCTGATCTCCGTGCGTCAGTCACGACGACGTCTCCGATGTGTGCGGTGAATGGAGGGGCTGCGCCGGGAAGCGGTTGTGTGCCGACGCTCTCTGCACTCTGTTGTGTCTCCAAACAATGTTTCATCGGCCCGTTTAACCCGTTCGGCGGAGTCCCCCTTAATGAGCTTACAATTAGTGACGGCTGATTTCCCTCTCGTCGTGAATTAGACGCTTTACACACATTATCCATTATTAGAGGCTCCTAATTAGACGCCATTTAATTAGCAGCGAGTTCCGCGTGTAATTCAATTATAGAAACTGCGCAATCAAAACCGAGCAGAACTGGAGCTGCCGCGGAAGAGGGCGACGCATCACGGGGCGCTGCAATGTCATAGGCCCAGCGTAGAGTGTAAGCTCCTCTGTACAGAGACCGATGTGACTGTGGGGGAGGAGACATTAGAGTGTAAGCTCCTCTGTACAGAGACTGATGTGGGGAGGGGACATTAGAGTGTAAGCTCCTCTGTACAGAGACTGATGTGACTGTGTGGGGGGGGGGACGTTAGAGTGTAAGCTCCTCTGTA